CCCCCCCCCAAAAACCAAAATTTTATTGCAGATTCGGGGTCCTCTCGCCGAGCGCAGAACGACCCTGGTTTCAAAAAACATATATATTATATATATTTCTGGGCGGTTTTTTGGCCCGCCCGGTTTACCCGGGCGGTCCCCCCGTATTCAACCAGCCAGGCGGTGTCCTCAGTTTATTTTTACATATATGTGCATGGTGAACACTGGCCATCATTCCTGGGCAGTTGGGCACCCAGAAACGATATGTTCGCGCAGCGGGGCACATCGCAACACTGTTGGATCCCGTGAGTTTGCGACTCTGTGTAAGACTGCACAGCATGTGCTTGCATTGGGGGCATAGTGCAACATCGCAGGGGGGAAAAAAGAAAAAATGATGGCACACACACATGATGTACTTGGCAACTTGTGGACACACACACACACACAACAGTCACATACACACACCCATGCACAGCTGTTGCGGATCAAATCCTGCAGCAGCTGAACGCCCTTGCGTTGGACCAGTCGTCCCTGTTGCCGCCTGCCCATAGAGAAGGAATACGTACTGAGAAAGCCCTAGAAAGATGCTCCATGCCGCGTTGTGATGACCCGCCGGAGATTCAACTAGCATGTGGTTTGCATGCCTTGTGCCGTGAGGATTATGAAGGGATAGTCCATCCGAGTTTTTGCTTCCATACGTATGATGACAGTCAGTACTGTACTCATGTACGGCACTACGACATGTCATGTCCAATTTGTAGACAGGGGCTGGAACGGCAATGCCTCTATAATTGCGGTCGACGTGACTCTGTGTTCCTAGCATGTACGATCCACGTAGCCTGTGACATCTGTCTGCGCCGTGCCATTCGATGCAGCAACTGTGACTGCAAAAATTGGATGCGGTGCTTCAATAGCCCACACCCGAACCGGTCCTGTCCGGTCTGTAGGGGTGGCCACTCGCCATAGGTTGTTTTTTGCTAGAGTAGTCTGTTTCAGCGGTGAATATTTAGAAATCTGTGAGGCTTGTCATATACCTCTCCCCTGCTCGTTGCATGTCATACTCTATCCTGCCCTCCACATATTTCTTTCCTTCCCGTTGGCCCTACCTCACCTGCCTCATACTCCTATAGAACTCCGCCTTCTATCCTTTACCCTCCACCCTCCCCTCCACTCCCTTTGTGCTACTAACAAATACATACGAATGAGCATCATTAAGAGAACAGATGATATGAAGATCAGAAATGAAATGAATGGAAGTATGAAGATCTAAAGTGAAATGAACAGGAGTATGAAGTTCTGAAGAGAAATGCACAGGAACATACCTTCCCTTTTACTCTGCCTCCTGAAATAACGTGCAAGTGGGCCGTGAAGGCACACAGGGATGTGGGCAGCTGCCGCTCAACTACAATCAACGTGGGCACAGTAGAAGGGGCGCTGCAAGAACAATGAAAGGGGTTCCCCAAGGACAACCAAAAAACTGTCTAATTATAAAATTGCTTTAATATGTTGGACATCTCAAATGCTCTCGTTGTCTTTTATCTGGGTGGAATTGGGGCTATTGTGGGGAAAATCTAAAACACACATGCACACACACACAGTCATGTTCTGATGCCACCGTGATGTTCAGACTGTGTTCTGGTGCCACCGTGATGTTCTGCTGAACATCACGACGGCATCAGATCATGACTGTGTGTGTGTGTGTGTGTGTGTGTGTGTGTGTGTGACACTGGTTGTGTGTGTGTGTCCGCAAGTTGCCAAGTATGCCATGTGTGTGTGTGCGCATGTGTGTTGTCATATTCACTATATATTCAAAAAAAGCATGTCATTGACTGTGCCAGACTCAGCAGACTGTTTGGTGGGACTTTCACGGACTCAGCAGGAGAAGGATGAAGATGAGGAGGAGAAGGACGGGCCTCGACGACGAAAGGCGACGGCAATGGGGATGAAAAAAAAAAAAAAAAACGCTGACGTGGCAGGGGAGGTAGACGAGGCGGAAAAGGACGAGGATGAGGAGGCGAAGGACAGAGATGAAGAGGAGAAGGGCGACGAGGAGGTAAACGACGACGATGAGGACGAGGAAGATGAGGAGGAGAAAGACGAAGATGATGATGAGGAGGAGGAAGATGATGAGGAAGGACGACGAGGAGGAAAAGGATGAGCCTGGGTAAGGGAAGGTCACAACGAGGGGGATTGAAAAAAAAATAAAAAATAAAAAAATGCTGATGTGGCAGGGGAGGAAGAAGAGGACGAGAAGGATGACGAGGAGGTAGACGACGAAGATGAGGAGGAAGACGAGGAGGTAGACGGCGAAGATGAGGAGGAGAATGACGAAGATGAGGAGGAGAAGGACGAAGATGAGGAGAGAAAGGTAGACGAAAGGCGACGGCGAGGGGGATTAAAAAGAAAAAAAGATGCTGACGTGGCAGGGGAGGAAGACGACGACGAAAAGGACGGCGAGGAGGAGGTTGACGGCGAGGATGAGAAGGAGAAGGACAAAGATGAGGAGGAGAAGGACAACGATGAGGAGGAGAAGGACGACGATGAGGAGGAAAAGGACGCCGTGGACGAGGAAACGTGACAACGAGGGGGATTAAAAAAAAAAGAAGCGCAGGTGTGGCAGAGGAGGAAGACGAGGACAAAAAGCACGACAGCGAGGAGGTAGACGATGAAGAGGGCGAGGACGAAGACGACGAGGTAGACGACGAAGATGAGGAGGAGGAGGAGGAGGAGGAGGAAAAGGTAGACGAAAGGCGACGGCGATGGCACTAAAAAAAAAAAAAAAAAAAATAAAAAAAAATTAAAAAAAATGCTGACGTGGCAGGAGGAGAAGGACGAAGATGAGGAGAAGGACAAGGAGGAGAAGGAAAGGGACAAGGAGGAGGAGGAAAAGGTCAAGGAGGAGGAGGAAAAGGAGGAGGAGGAGGAGGAGGAAAAGGACGGCAAGGACGAGGAGCAGCATCTCTCTCTCTCTCTCTCTCTCTCTCTCACACACACACACACACACACACACACACACACACACACCTCCGATGATGGCGACGAGGACGTCACGATGGCGTGGCAGCAGCTTACGGTCGACGACGTTCGCAACGGCCCGGGCGATGGTGGTGATGTTGGCAACGGGAACCTTGTCAATGATGGCGATGATGGCAAAATGAGGCGGGGGGAGGGTGGAGGCGCTGTGGGCGAGAAATTGGGCCCGTTGAAATCGAATGACCACCAATTTCCCGCCCCCCCTGCCCTGCCCCGCCTCCACCCTCTCTCAGCCGCAGTAGCCCGTGCCTTCCCCCCCTCCCCCCCCCTTTTCCTCGGTAGCCGAAGCCCCACCCCAAAATGGCCAAAAAGAAGCCGGTACACCGGCCTGTATGTCAAGTACACGCGTACGTGTTCGCCAGACGATGAGCGTACGTATGCGCCCAGGCATACGTACGCTGACCCTGCGTACAGGTATGCGGTGCAACGCAGGTTTAAATCTACCGGGTGTCTGGGGCTGGGATGCTTGGGTTCACTTTTTGTCCGGAAACCGCGGACAACTTTGTTCATTTTTTATCTCGATTCTTTGACGAGTCTGGAGGTGACTCGCAGCCCAAAGTTGCTTGCATTGGAGTCGTCTACAACTTCTTATTTTCTTCTCTTTTCTTTTTCTTTTTTTTTCTTCTTTTAAAAGGAGGTCTGCTCTGCTGCAATGCAATACAGACCCAGACCCGTAACACAGCCTTCCAGATGGTCAAGATTTGTACATTCCTCAGTCTGCTGGGCAACCCAATTGATAACTCAGCCTTTTTGTTTTTGTTGGGCAGGTGTCTATCCTGTGTGTGCTGTACAAGCTAATGACAGATAGGAGACTGGAGAAGAATTCCACAAACGATTACATGGTGAGGATGGTGACAAAAATTGTCCGAGGGATGTTTGCCCGAATGAAGGAAGATCCCTTAGTGTTCATGGAGGTCCTTTTCTGGAAGACGCAAGCGTTTGCTCGCCAGCTTACGAAAGGGGAGCAAGGCAAAACACAGAATGTTATCATTGACGACAAGAAGAAAGACCTAAGGGAAGCCCTGGGCGATGAAGACGATGCTGGTGCTTCCACAGGCTGCTATGCAGGGTAAGAATTATCTGTGAGTATTTTGCTATTCACATAGGTTACCTGGCTGGGGATCGGAACTGGGTCGGGCTGCCCCAGTGCCTGCCCAGGCAGTGAGGACTGGGCAACGTCCTGGGTAACCCCAGCACAAAAGAATATTGTCTAGAATTGGAATAGTGCAATGAACCCAGTCAGATGAGAAGCTTCTGAATGCCGAAATAGAAGTCTGACACAGCGCAGCATCAATGTCTACAAAAATCGTTTATGAAACCATGCCTGTCATACATGTAGTCTCCCAATGTCTCAAACTCAGAGAAGAGAATGAGGAGAGAGGGAGAACGGACTGAGAGTGGGAGGAGAGTTTCCACAAGAATCAACGAAGCAGAAATCCCTCCTCAAGCCCACCTCCTCCTCGGGCATCTCCCTCACTTGCCACGTCAGCAATACAGATCTCCCCTGACGATCTCTGACATATACAGCGAACCGGTCACAGAAGGGTGCCCATCCTCCATCCACGTCAGCAGCAATCAAGCATGGCGCAGATCTTCCTCTTGGAGACCAACAGCAAAGCACACGCGGCTTCACAGGTAAGTTCAGGTAAGCTTCTCCTCATCACTCGCACCAATCTCACAGTCCAGATCCTCCTCCTCCTCCTCCCCCACACTCCTATCAATCTTGAAATCAATGCGGCTATGGCCGAGGCAGCATAATTACCCTCAAGGCTGGCGCCCACACTCAGAATCTGGCGCCAGCATAAAGCTCCAGCAGCCTTGCGTTGTCGCACCAAGCAACAAGCCAGCGCCAGGCAGAATGCACAAGACTGAATGCCCTCCAAGCAGGGGCTGGGTCAACATATACTGTTCACTCAAGTTGACCAGCCTCTGGTCTCCTGGGGTCGATGGCCCAGATCAATCAGAAGCCAATGGTGTTATGGACTCCGCCAGGGCTCGATCCCTGGTCTGCGGGTTACCACCCGCCAGCTTGCGGTATTTGTTTTCTTCTTTTTGTTTTGCCATTCTTTTTGTTTTTGATTCTTGCTTTTCTGATTTCAGACAGTTGGTGCCATCTGCATTCTGGCGCCCGTTTTCAAATTCCTTCTTTTGGGACTTTCGGATTTCGGACACTTGGCGCCATCCAACATTCTGGCGCCCACTCTCAGACTTTTGATTTTCAGTTCTGACCCTGAGGCATTTTCACTTTTGCCCTCAGGACCGTACTTGAGTCCGGTACTTATGTACGGACTCAAGCCCAGTACGAGCACCAAGTTTTCAGCCTCAGTGCTTGTGTTCAGTGCGACTTTGTTTCGACATTGTGTTCGGGAAATTCAAGACTGTGACTTTGCGACTTTTGCCAGTTTGTGTCTGCGTTCGTTGAGTCGTGTCCAGTCTGCATCGAGTTGCGTGACCATGTGTGTGTGCTCTCACGCTCCATCTCTCTCCCAGCCTCACTGCGCTGCCTCTGCCTCGTCACACTGGTATTGGAGCGGCGCCGATCGCCCTCCCGCCCGCCCTGATCGACGTGGCGCAGCTTCATCATCGTCTTCGTCATCGACATTGCCCACGTCCTCCCATCGTCGACATTGCCACGTCATCGTCATCGTCGCCACGCCATCGTCGTCGCTGCCACACCGTCAACAATCCTGAATCGCCGACGACAAGGCGCAGTTACGTTATTATGATTTTTCTTTCTTTCTTCTTTTCTCTCTTTCCTAGACATTGTCTCTTCTTCTTCTTCTTCTTCTTCGATAACGTTTCCTCTTTTTCTTCTCTTCTTCTTCGCCGTTTCTTCTCTCATTTCTCCTCCGTTTTCGTTTCTCCTCGTTTCCTCCCCATCGTCGTTCACATTGCCTTTCCCCCGTCGTTCTCCGAAATTGCAATTATTGAAATTGAAATCACTTCGATTTTGATGCTGACATCGAATCGATTTCGATTCGAAATCGAAATCGAACCGATTCTTCCCGACCCCCCCCCGCATTCTCTTCGTCATCATCATCATCATCATCATCATCATCGATCTTCATCCTCATCATCCTCACCTTCATCATTCTTTCCCCCTTTTCCCGCGC